TTTACAAAATTTAATCTAAAAAAATTCAATCTAGAGTTTTCATAAATGATTATTGTATAATTTTAAATTAAGTTTTCATTTCTTTACACTATTTTCATCTAATCTCAACTTAATTTCATTTCTCTTTTCACTATAACTTGTCGACCTCGTTTTTAATAGTGGATAGTAGAAAAACGAGTGAAACATATATAGAACCCGGCATATCTTTTTTAGAATTGACATTTACATTCGTTATCTGAGTAATAACAAAAAGCCACATCCCATAAGGCAGATTTCCGATTTAATATTATTTTGTAATCCTTCTTTGGAAATAGTCTACTTAAATTATTCGTTTTATAGAATTATGTATTTAACTGAAGTTCCACAAGTCGAGATACTCAGAATAATTTACAGATTATAAGGGTCTTAATAAAATCATTAATTATATCTTTAAAAGTTTTGCAATGTTATGTTAATTAATATATACGTACATCAAAGAATTTTCTTAATAATATTTCTATGTGAAAGGAATAAAAGTTTTTTAATAATTCCCTTTGATCAAACCAACAACGTATGCATGACAAAATTTTCTCTTTAAAGCATTCTAAAGTTGTTTTCTATATCCAAACACCATACATTTTTCACGAAAGTATAAAAGTTTTAAAGCACTGAAATACCTTTAGGAAATGAATGTGAGAGAATCTTGTGATTTCAGTATATTCGAATTTTATTTGACTTTTTTCTTTTCGTTTTATTTTTCGTAGGTCATTATCCAGGTTGGTTGACAATTTTCTCGATAATTCCCATGTCCGCAGTAAATTCGATCATGGCATCCGCAAGAACGGCAAATCACACCCCAGGGCTTTTTCGTAACAGGTCAAAAGGGAAAGTTTTTCTTATTCTTCATAATTTTTCATTGCTACTAATGGTAGAATAAAATTGTATTTTTAACAGAGTTTACGATTATGATAAAGATTCCTTTTTTTTCTAAAGACATATGTTCATTAAATTAAGTGATAATTTAATTTAATTATTTTATTGATTATTTTAAAACAGTGTGAAACAAAGTTTTCTATAAAAGACTTAATTAGAATCACCTTCGCTTCGTTTAAAATGTTTAATAAGAGACGACGTTTTTAAAAGTTAACCAATATCGAACTTCCACTAGATAGCATATACATAACTTGCTAAGTAGGTTAATTTGAATGTTTAAATTCTGGAGACGTTCAACTCAATTTGCAAAGAATCTTTTGTGTCTGGTTAAATCCTTTCGATCTATACCTTTCAACCCACCAGCATACAAGCTCTGCCTATCTAGCAACTTTTGAATCTTTCTGCATTGTCCAACACTGTTATTTTGATTTTATGACAATAGGATTTTACACGAAATGCATTTATAATGTGACCACTTATATCGTTTCTGCGTAATCTTATTTGTGATAACAAAACTAGATGTAACCTTCTCGTAGATATAAAATTAATGCTAACTACAAGAAAAGAACATAATAAAGTTAATGACTAATGGAAAAAAGTTTTTATTGGCGTGATGTGGGACGATAAGTAGCAGTTTTATACAAAACTGCTGCTTCTAATACAGACAGCCTCATTCCTTGGTCAGCTGGCTAACCGACAATGAAGGCGTGATTTAGTCTCTAACGTTGATAACCGCATGGCTTGAGGTATCGTGAACAAGATTGTAAGTAACCAACATGGGGAGACAGTCCCTTCCCTATACGAGGGTCTTAACTCTTTTCAGGAGCTTATGTTTCTGTGGACGAAGGAACGTGAAACAACGAAGGAGAGGACCGTTCACTAAAACCAAATCTGCTAATGAGTATTTCACCAACCTCTTAGAGGGTCACTTACCTAACTAATACGGGGACTAAGCACATGAGTCTAAATTAAATCAAAAATCAGTGAGAGAAGAAGGCGCAATGCGCCTACATTTTACGGTTTCGTGTCCTAAAAGAATAAATAAATAATAAAAACAAATCTTAAACCCCATGGACAATATTAATTATTAATAAATAGAAAAGTATCACACAAATTAATAGTTTTTACTTTCACCCAACATCTAGTAGATTCTTTGGTTACCATAGCAACCATTTCTATGATAACCATTAATATAGCAACGGTTTCTATGGTTACCATTATCACTACTACCATAACAACCGTTACCATGGTAAACATCACCATAGCAACGGTTACTATGTAATGTAATAATGGTTGCTATCTTTATGGTTGCAATGGTAACCGTTGCCATGGCAGCCATTATCATAACAACCGTTACTATGGTAACAATGACCATAGCAACGGTTGGTAAGGAAAACTATGGACGGACACCGAAGTCTCGCTATAAGGGTTTCGACCCTTGGCCACGAAACCCTAATAATATAAAAAATTAACCCAGAAAGCAATTAAAGTGGGTGACATCATATTGTCCCTTTGCAAGGAACTGTAAAAGGTGCCACCCTGGGCGAATTCATTAGTCCGTGAACTGCCACCAAGTTAACTAGTTGTGTACTGTCATACCAAGTGTCTTCTTCGACTCAAGTCCAGAAATTATCACCGAATCAACTCGAAGAATCGAGTCTAGTCAACCAAGTTTCTTCTTCGAGTCTCGTCACAATACAAGTCAAAGTTTATACAATATTACAAATATAATAATTTGTAGTGAAACAAGTAACAATTGTTATTTAAATAATCGTAATCTTTTCCTGAACTTAATGACAAAATCTGAAATTCAAAATTTGCCCTGCATGAAGAACGCCCCTATTAGAATTAAACCTCCAGTTCACGTGCTAAGGTATGTAACCATTTCAACAAAATATTTCGCTAATGAGAAAATGATTCCCTTTTATGGTTGGAACATATCCCTTCGTTAAGGAAAACAACCTAATTATGACTTGTATTCACAAACGAGAATACTCTGCAATTACAAAGATTATTTTCTAAAAGGAACAATATTTTCCCAACCATTGTTAATAATAACGATTATAAATATTAAGATTTTTATTAAATATTTATAAAAATCCATTATACAATTACTATAATTCGAAATAAGTAGGAGTACTAAATAAATTTTAATATTTTCCGAAGTTTTTTGCTTACTAAAATTGCGTTGTATCTAATCAATTGTTAAGTAATAAAGAAAGACATAAAAATGTCAATTTGAATTCTTGCGAGTTTTAATTCACAAATAAATAATTTGTATCCTTAAAAATATTCATGTATCACATTCTCCATCATGCAATTTGTAGTAGCCTGAAAAAAGAAACCATTAGAAAACTTTTTAAAATAAATAAAGAAAAATGAATTATCGGAATTTCTTAGAAAGTTAGTCTTATTATAATCTAGGTAATTCGGTGCGGCGTTTTATTTATTATAATTATACAGACTCACTTGTTCTATAAATAGCAAAAACTTGAATGTCTTCATTATTCCTGTTTAAAGTTTGAAGACCAAAACGAGTGCATCTATTAAGGCAACGCATGTGACATATACTTGGGAATGATCGATCATCATAATCACGATCTCGAGCACAAATTGTTTTATTTCCATCACCGTCACTATCCTCTTCTGATCCATTATCATTTTCAAGACCAATTACTTTGTTCGCATCACATTGCTTACAGTCACAATCTTCCGCAACTATTTGTGTCACGAGTGCTAAAAATATTTCGAGAAATAACAATTATGATAATTAAAAATGTCTTGTAATAAAATAATTTTTTAGTGAATATAAATTATAATTGGCAAACGAATATTAAAATTTTCTATTCTTGTATTAATTGATTAATTTTCTCTCACTTTCTAGTGATAATATTCTGATATAAAAAGAAATTTTTTTTTATAAATTTTTAATGAAAAACTGAAATCATAACTATTTGGAATCAAGATACAAAAGTTGCAGCAGACTTATTCTAATTAATATTTCACATTTATAATTAATATAAATTGAATAGAAAGTAGGTCACTATATTGATATTACTCACCAAAAATAGTAACAATGTATAGTGCATTCATTATGATATCGATATCCACCAGATAAGTTATCAACGATGAATGAAAACTGACACTGATTTAACCAGTTACTGAAATCTCACTTATTCTGATTAGAAACTTATTTTCTTAGTTGATTGTGTTTATCCCAGACTCTCAGTGCCGTACAGCAAAGTTTTAAATTATGCGACTTAGCCTTTCATATGAAAGTCACGTATATTTTAAAACAATTTTCTGTTTAAATTAAACTACATTGGGGTTATTTAAAAAAAAAATTAGGATTTTATAATTTTAATTATGTTTATAGTTTAACATAAGGAATTCTATGAAATCTTAAATTTCAATGACGCCAGGTTATTTTTGGATAAACCTTCTAATTTCCGGATTGTTCACTTTGTCTGCGGTGAAACCATATTGATGTGCCATAAGCGATAAAAGAGAAAAATTGAGTATCAGGCGCTTCTCCAGAAGAAAAATTTGGCGGTCATTTTTATTTGATGAATTGCTAAATTTATCTTCAAAACGTAACCTCTCCATATTCAATTTAAGGATCGACTACTATCATAGAAAGTCAGTCCAAGTTAGCAGTGCTATCATTAGGTTTAATCTTTTAATCACAAGTAGAGTTCACGGAGTTAATTGCAGTTTCGTCGCAGGTGTGCATTGACAAGTGTTACCATCAGGGATCGTTAATCATCATTCACCTAGATTCTAGAGAATTCTATACTATTCATCTAACAACATTGTAGTTCATGTTTAGACTATTGTAAGACATTAATACATAAATATACATCTTTAAAAGACTGTAATTTCAGAAATAGATAAATTACTTTCTTTAAAAACAAAATAGTTAACTTAGGGAATAGGAAAATCTTGATATTGTTAGTTTAGGTAAAATCCGTAAATTTTATTTTTAAACATTATTTAATTTTAGTTATAGAATACATGCGTATGAGGTAATTCTCATGTCTTGAAACACGTGGGCTTTCAGAACCGTTGACTTTCAGTGGGCTATTTAATAAAAATAAAGAAAAATATATTATAGATATACTTTCCTGGTCTGTTAGTTATACACGATTGTTTCAAGACACTTCTATCTTAAATTCGACAAAGCATCCTTTGAACAAAAGTAATTAGATAAAAATAATTAATTATACAAACAAATACTTAAAAAAGGATTAAATATTTTTGTAACCATTTTCCTGTTTGATTATAATAAATAATTAACATACAAACGAATATAATTGTGAAGTAATGTTTCATTACGTTCTTGAAAAATTCAAAGAGGAAGTACTGAATTATTTAAACATTCGCATTAATGCGAAAATAATAAGCAATGTTTCTTAATTGATAAGGGTCATTATCATGTTCATATGTTTTTGGGTGACGGTATTATTAAATTTTACTTTGACGTCGAATTTATTTTCCCAACACCCTTGGAATTAATTTCATTGTATTTTTCGACTACTAACCAAATGCGAACAATCTGGAGAATGATAATGCTGGGTCATCTTCTTTAACAAGTGAATCTGATTCGGATTTTCTTAAATTTATTTACAGTTTATTTTTTTTATTTTTTGTTGAAACACTAATATAATTTTCATCGGCAGGGTCATGACTACACACTAAAAAAAAAGTTTTACTTTCAGCCTATTTTTGAGGCTGAATTTAAGATGTAAACGGAGTCAGCCCCGTTAAACAAGGACAGACTTATGTGAAATACATGGGCTGAATTTAAGGTGTAAACGGAGTCAGACTTTTTTTTCCTGTGTAGAAGAGACAAGACAAATTAATCAATTAAATATTGAAAGCCCTGATATACATATTTATAAAACTGAGGCTCTGAACTAAGGGAACATGGCAAAAGAATAGAATTGATTGAACCAGAAATAGTACCAACACAATTAAATTTTATAGATACCTGTTCTATAATAGATATCATTCAGTTCAGTTTTACAGGAATATTTATTGAAATATGTCTTTTTAATTTAATCTATTTTATTGAACAGAAAGAATTTCTTTCTCTTATCTCAGATAAAGTAAAATAAAAAAAATTACCACTTAAAAGAAGAAAAATTTTTTAATTTCAAAAATTGATAAATTGCGAAAAAATGTATCCATCTGTGAATAATATTGCCAACCTGTGCTTGATTACACATCAACCTATTCATATTTTATATTTTCAAAAATATCGTTTCAAACATTCTGTTACTTGCCGTTCAAATTTTTTAGCTTCAAATTACTGACATGACCTATTTTTTATAATTCACCAAATGAACCTGGATAATTTCTCTTTAAAATCCGGATATTGCCTCGTACTAGCAATCGTAAATTGGATTCGCGATTTCTTGATTCGTATTTTTTTCTTTTTCTCAACTGCAAGCTCTTATAATACTCGAGAATAATTAATAGGACAATTTGTTAAAAATTCATAAGTATTTTTCGCACAATAAAGCGATAAGTAACTCACAAAAAAAATGTCACTGCAATCAAACCAATTAAACAGATGAAAAGAATGCATTTCGGTTTTCAATTTCTCTTCATATTTTGTTGGGTAGTACGCAATTTTCATTCGTCTGCAATTCCGTGCACTACCCAAACAGTTCCGCCCTAATACATCCCAGTGCATCACAGCTTAAAGCTTTTCGAACATTCAATCAAAACCAATATGTTGTCCTTCTGACTATGACCATTGTATCACAAAACACTACTGATTTTCGAATTGCGAGGTACGTAATCAACTTTTTCATATTATGGGGGAAAAATGGAAAAAATGTTTTCCTCTCTAGTTTCACATCTATAGTTTACAATCGATATGGCTGATGTATGAGAAAATAAATTTATCATTTATGTGATTGAAGAACAGTAATCTAATCTTGATGTACGAATGTGTGTAAATAATGCATGCTCTTTTACAGTACTCGTATGCGGAAGAACTTTTCATCATTCATGGATGTATTATCGGACTTGTACTGGGCATTGTAAGTAGCATTATGCTTCTACGTAACCCTTCGGAAGTGTATACAAATTGACAAGTGCAACAGCTCAATAGGGTTAACAACCCTACTCTACTTCTCCTCTTGTGACCTTTGTTTCGAATGCGTATGAAGAATGAAAATTTAACGAAGTGTATATAAAGGAGTATGTCAATAGCTCTATCTTCAATACTGACACTTTTTCAAATCAAATCGTCAGTTGAGAACTGTAATTTGAAACATTTTTTTATCCTCTGAATTTTATTAGAATACGTGAATTAAGAGGCAATACATAGTATTATTTTTAATAATGTTATGTGTATGTGTTCTTGTGTATACATTTTGTGTATTTTGGCATTATGATGATCTACCATCTAGCGTCGAATTAATAGAGGAAAATAATTAATTCATATTTTGAACCACGTTTAAAATCTTACCTAATTTACCTGAATTTAATTTTAATTGGAACATATTTGGATTTCTGCATTATTAAGTATTAATTTAAATTTTTGAGAAAAAGCCTTTATGATACATGAACCTGCAAAAGAAGGTAAATCTTTTCTTATTAAAAATTAGTTAAGCAATCAAATGTACTAAAAAATTAAGAAGGCATTAGATGACTTGGAATTATCTTTGTCATTTAAAATTCCATTGCCCACAGACAACAAACAACTATATGAAATTCCGCTTCTTCTGGTAAAGTTCTCATATTTTTAGTCAATGAATGTAATGAAAAATCAATCCGAAGTGGACTGAATGAGAAACAACTTTATTTTAGAATTACCTTGTCCATTTTTGGCATCCATATATTTGTTTTATCTCGTCAATGACAAATTTAACCAATAAGAATATTTACGTCTTATGCGAGAAGTTAACCAACCTATGATGCGCTCATTTTTATGACAGAATAATAACTGAATTTTTTTATTCGGAGCCATCATCTACGCCAGCCACTTGCCTGAATTTCATGTACATTATTAACAACGAAACTCATTAAAAACAGTTTTAAAATTTGTTTTATATTTCATAACATCAATAAAACGATGCAAAAAAATAGTTTATGTGACTGAAAGAAATACCGAAATAAGTCTCCAAAACAGCCTCGAACATGAGACTACAGCCATAAGTGTATATGGGGCAAAATTCCTCAACTGTCCAGGTCAAAAAATAAATTTTCTCTAAACTTTGCTAAAATGTTACTATTATTAGTAGAAGTGTAAATATAAATTTTTTTTGAATTTGATAAAATATTTTTTGAGTTATGAAGTTTCAAAATTTTGATTTTTTTGAAAATATCTTTTTTTCAATTTAATATATTGATAAGTAAAATTAATCAAATTTAAAGTATGAATAGTGATTTTTAAAGGCTTTTTTACGAGATACAAGCTGGTGATGAAAAAAAAGTTGTTTTCCTTCAATTTGACCTTGAAATTCAAGGTCAAATTCTTAATTTCAATGTATCTCAAAATCGGTATTTTTTATTTTTTTGGAAAGCTTACCTTTTTTTCTATGAGCCATGTAAAAATCAGAGTGGGACCTTGGAAATTTTTGCAAAAAATAATAATATATATAAAATTTTCTATAATTATTTTCTTCAAAAATTTTCAAGGTCCCACTCTAATTTTTACACGGCTCTTAGGAAAAAAGGTAAGCTTTCCATTGGGATAGGTTAGAAAAAAATAAAAAATACCGATTTTGAGATATATTGAAATTAAGAATTTGACCTTGAATTGCAAGGTCAAATTGAAAGATAAAAACTTCTTTTTCATCACCAGCTTGTAGCTCGTGAAAAACCCTTTAAAAATCACTATTCATACTTTTAATTTGATTAATTTTACTTATCAATATATTAAATCGAAAAAAAGATATTTTCAAAAAAGTCAAAATTTCGAAACTCCATAGGGGAGTGTGGGGCAAAATGGGGTACCTTTTTGAAATTAGTTGTTTACAGAGAACCAAACGAATAAACCGCTTCAACTAAACTTCAGAATTTTTCTTTGTACACTTAGTTTTGAGGAAATTATGATAATAGCGGAGAAAAAAATTTTTGAAAGAACTTATATCGTATTTTCCAAGAAAGTGCTAAAACCCCATTTTGCCCCATTCCCCCCAAAATGAGGTGGAATCAAATAACTATACAAAACATGAAATATTTTTTCAAAATTTATTAAATTCTTGTTGTATGAAATTATAAATACAA